GAGCTCACTGTGTAGTCCAGGCTGGCCTCGAACTCATGGCAATCCTGTTGCCTCAGCCTCCCACACGCTGAGACTGTAGGTATACATCACTTAATTGTAAATCAAGGTTCTTAATGATGTTTCAGATCTTATATTAAGTGGGGAAACCTAGATGTACACACTTCAGGGAGTCCTTGAGATAATTTCCCCTTTTCTATTAGCAGTTAAACTATTAGCAGTTCCTTCCATTATTTAACCATTATGAGATAGACAGTGAATCGTCTAACATTGAGACCTACCTATAGGCCCTGGTATGAGTTTTTGAGCTAGAGAGGGTGCTCAAAAGGGTGATCTTTGTAGGTGCCTAATATGGTTTATATCTAGATGTCACGCAACAGCCTCTTGTGCTCATATGTGGGGCCTTTGAAAAGTGACTGGATTATGAGGGCTTATAGCTAGCTTGCTGTTAGGAGCTGGGGTCTGGTCAGAAGAGGGAAGTTCTGGGGATGTGACCTAGAAGGGTTTATCTCCCTTCCTGGCTCCTTGCTTTGTGTTCCTCTTCCTGTTCTCCATGCCATGAACAGCCATTCCTCCATCATGCTGCTACGTCCTGCCATTCTATCTTGGTGCCAGCGAGTATGACTGAAGTGTGAAGCAAAATAATCCTCCCCTCCTTTAGTTTGTGGGTGTCAGGTATTGTGTCTCAAAGACAAAGAAAGTAACTAAGACAGATTTTGGTGCCAATAAAGGTCTTTTTTCTGATGCTTTCTAAAGACTGTGTAGTTTAGAAGTCTTTGGAACTGGTTTGCAGGAGTTTGCTGTAAACCAAGCTTGATGGAAGATTTTGGCCAGAGCTCAGAAGACTAGAATGCAGAATAAAAAAGCAGATGTAAAAACCAGGCCCAGGAGGTTTCAGTTGGGAAGAAGGACTTTATTTGCACTAGGATTTGAGACCATGTGTGTTATGCTCTGGCAAAAGCTGTGTTTACATTTTATTCTTGTCATGAGACTTTGCAGGAAACTGAGATTAAGGGGGTCAGATTAATTATTCTAGTGGAGGAAATTTTAAGGCAGTCCAGCATTCAGGCTGTAGCATGGCTACTGTTGGGTGCTTTTAGCCAGCTCTACATCGAGACTCAAAAATAATGGTACAGCTGAGTGATTTGAAAAGTTTTGAGTCTCACCAGAAAGGAAACTCTTGTAAAATCCCGACTTACAAAGTTTGGATGGAGGAGAGCTTGATGGCTGAAAAGATTAAGCCAGGCATGGTGATGCATGTCTGTAATCCTAGCACTCAGGAGGATCAGGCAGGAAGATTGCCAGGACTGCAGCTCAAGGCCAGCCTGAACTACGTAGTGAGACCCTATCTCCAAAAAATAAAAAAGTAGGGCTGGGCGAGGTCACATACACTGTAATCTCAGCATTTGGGAGACTGAGGCAGGAGGGCCGCCTGGGCTACATGAGTTTGAGGCTAGTCTGTGCTACATAGCATAGTGAGACCCTGTCTCAAAATAAAAATAAAAATTAAATTAATTTTTAAAATCAAGTACTTTATGACAGGACAAAGCAAAGATGGCCTGAGGACATCCCAAGAACCAGCAATACCCTATTCTTTCTCAGGCTCAAAATTGCAAAAATGAAAGCCCCAGGACACTGTGCTGGAGAATGGCCACTTAGGGAATTTTGTTTCTGGGAATCCAGGGATTTCTTCACAGTACTCAGCCATCCAAGATCAGAGGCCTCTGCAGCCATGATTCAGTTGGAGGCTGGCTATGGATGTTGGTGCCATCCACACAGTCCTGGTCTTACAGGCATGTAGAATGCAAGAGTTGTGGGATCCAGGAGGCTTCCACCTAGATTTCAAAATGACCATCATCAAGAAATCGAGGGTTAGGGATATAGCTCAGTGGCACAAGTACCTGCCTGGCAAGCACAAGGTCCTGAGTTCAACTCCTGGTACAAAAAAAAAAAAAAAATAGAACAATAACAAATGCTAGTGAGACTGCAGGGAAAAACTAGTACAACCATTATGGAAATCAGTATGGAGATTCCTCCAGCCTATAGTTCAGGCTGGCCTTGAACTGCAACAAAAAAAAAAAACCTAAAACTAGAAATTCCATTTGACTCAGCTGTTCCCCTTCTAGGTATCTTCCTGAAAGAGTTAAAGCTATCACATTACAGCTGGGCATGGTGGGGCATGCCTATAATCCCTCGTACTGGGGATGCTGAGGCAGAAGGATCATCTCAAGCTCAAGGCCAGCCTGAACTGCATAATGAGACTGTGTCTCAAAGAGTTAAAAAAAAAAAAATTAGAGTGATACATACATAGCAGTCTATATGTCCATCAGCAGATAAATTGATAAAGAAAATTGTTATTTACACACAATAGAATACTATTCTCCCATAAAGAAAGATAAACTTGAGTCATTTGTAGGAAAATGGATGCACCTGGAGACCATGTTAAGTGAAATAAATCAGACACACAACTTAAATATCACATGGTTCCTCTTATATGAGAAACCAAAATTATAAATACAGAACAGAATTAAAGATAAATAGGAAGTAGATCTTTTTCAAATGGAAGGGGGATCAAGAGATGAAAGGGAGGGAAAGGGGATGAGACAAGGAATAGGATGTGTACATGACCGACTCCACACAGGGAATGTAAACATTGTGTACTGCAAACGCGTACTAATAAAAATTTTAAAAAGAGGAAGAGAAGGTCTTGGGGACCAGGCAGTGTGCCCCTGAGAAAGCAATGTGTGAAGCTGTGAGTGAAGTTGAAAGTGCAGTGAAGACCCCAGGAAGCAGGAAAACCCTAGAACATGAAACGTCTGAGGAAAGCTGTAAGAATTGAGCAAAGCCTGCCTAACAGGAGCCGTGAGGGCTGCTACTTGCAACAGTGTCGTGAGGCAGCACGGCTCAAGCCCGTTGGTGTTCACATCTCGCGCCAGCTTGCCCTGGGTGCTGGACATGGAACTGTAGGATATAATGTTTCCCCTACTAGGTTTTGGTCTTACTTTGGTCCTAGTGGTTTCTGTTTTTTTGAGACAGGGTCTTCCTATGTAGTTCCGGCAGGCTTCAGTCTCGCAGATCTCCTACCTCAGCTTCCCGAGTGCAAACTCCCATTGATTTCTAGTCCTCGTTTCTCCTTTTGGAATGGGAATATTTACCCTTTGCAATCATATGTTAGAAGCGTTTAGCTTTCTTTTGATTTTTATTGGGAGCTTGTGGCTAAGAGTTTGCTCTGAATCTCAAGGGAGGCAATCCTTGGACTTTTCAGCAGTGCAGGAACTGTTAGGACTTTGGCACCTCTTTTTTTTTTTTCTGGAACTGGGAATGGAACTCACAACCTCGTGCTTGCTAGGCAGGCGTTGTGCCACTGAGCTAAATCCCCAGCCCAGCACCTCTTAGAGATAGGCTAAATGCAGTTGCACAAAGTAATACGTATGAATCTTTAGGGGCAGGGGTAGAACTTATATCTAGAGGTCCCCCAAGAGCCGCATGCACTCGTAGTGGGGCTTTTGAGAAGTTAAGGGATTATGGGGGCTTATAGGTGACTTGCTGTTAGGTGGATATGGTCAGAAGAGGGGTTCACTGAGGGTGTAGCCTGAAAGAGTTTATCTCCTTCCCCAGTTCCTTGGCCACTTGCTTCACACACTACTTTTTTTTCCCCCTCTCCATTTTTTTGAGATGGGGTCTCACCTTTAACTCCCTATGTAGGATAGGCTGGCCTTAACTTGTGGCAGTTCTCCTGCTTCAGCCTCCTGAGTGCTAGGATTACAGGTGTGTGCCCAGCATTCCCTACTTCCCATCAGCCATGCCATGAGAAGCTGTTCCTCCACCCTGCCCCCAAGTCGTACCATCTTTCTTTTTTGGCGGGGGGTCTTTTTGAGACAAGGTCTTGCTCTGCAGTTCAGGCTGGCCTCAAACTCATGTTGTAGCCCAGGTTGGTCTGGAATTTGCAATGATCCTCCTGCCTCAGCCTCCCAAGTGCTGGGATTGCAGGCGTGCACCACCACGCCCAGCCTAGCATCTTGTCTTTAGTGCCAGGCAACTACAAACTGAAGTGTGATAAAGTAATCTCTTCACCTTTACTTTGAGGATGCCAGGTATTATGTCTTAGCAGCGAAGAAACTAAGAGAGTGAGTAACCTTTCCACTGCTCAGCTTGGTCTCATGTTTACTTCACAAAAATTGGTAAAGACAGATACAAAAAGTAAGGAAGTTGGCATCATTTGGTTTCTTGACAGTTTTGGACAATGGTAACCTTTTGAAATGCAGAACCAGACAAATATTGAGCTCTTCATTCTGCCTGGGTATCTCAGTGTTTGTGAGACGTAAGACTGCTCCTGCTCCCTTCTCCCCTTCTACGTGCTTTAACCATTTCCTCTGTCCTCCTCCTCCTAGAGGAGGAGACCCTGAGTGGCCTGTTGAACTAGAAAATCCATGACTGATAGAGACTTAGTTGTAAGACTGAGCTTTGTAAACAGAATCTGCCTTTGGAAGAGAATGAGGAAACTAGGGTACTGAAGTTTGCATAGTTCAGAGTTAAAATGATCGGTCTTAGGTGGACATGTTTGCCTTCTACTTTAGGGCTTTAGCTTCCTTGTATTTGTGTGAGAAACTACAGGTGTCATAGCCCCTACCTATGTGAATGCTATTTTCCTCACTGCTGTTTTATCCTAAGTGCTTTACATATATGAACAAATTTAATCCTCCAAACAAGATGAGGAAACTGAGGCAGTGATTGGTGATTTGCCCAAGGACACAGTGGAGCTCAGATTCAGCTCCAGGCAGTTTGTCTCCAAAGTCTACACTCCTCAAGGACCGGCAAGTTTATAATTGTTCTCATTTATAAAAGTCAGCTTTTAACCAAGTTACAGAAGGACCTGAAGCGGGGTCCAAAGAAGGAGGGAGCACGAGCAGAGCTGGGGCTCTCAGCGGCTGCGCCTGTTGCCATTGTTTCTCCTCAGTTTGTATCTTTCCCCTCGGTCAAGGATGCTGCCTTTTCTCTTGCAGTGCTGAGGAATGTAAGCAAGTGTGCTGGGCCTTGAGAGACTTCACCAGGTTGTTTCGATAGCTCACACTCCTGCACTGTGCCTGTCACCCAGGTGAGTGATGTGTGTTTCCAGCTTTCTCTGGCTACATCAGAGAAGGACTTAGAGTGCACTGGCCGAGAGCGGGAAGTGCAGGAGCGTGGCAGCCAGGTAACTGTCCATGTGTTTGGGTGCCATTTCCATCTCCATAAGAAAGTTACTATTGTAGAATGTGTCACAGACTTCCTTCTCTTGCTTTAAGGCACTTTTAGGTTGATAAGTGTGTGTGTAACAAATAAATACTTTTAACAGGGCTACTTGGGTGAAAAGAATGCTGGATGTCTGATCTAAATTTGACTGTGATGCATGTCATCAATCTCTAAGACTGACCACATTTAGCTACCAAGGAGCTTGTTCTTCCCACTTTTTTGAGTGTGGAAATGTGAGGTTTTTACCAGGGCAGGAGGTACAGGAGAAGAGTAGCCTCTGTGGTCTGCTCCCAGTGGTTGGTTTTCTCAGTGTGCTTTCTGTCTCTTGATTCTGAAGCAAAACACGCTGAGCTGAGGAAAGGTCTAGATGGTGGTTTTGGGTGCAGGTTTCTTGACTGTTCTGTTTTTTCAGACAGGGTCTTACTGTATAGATCAGGCTGCCCCTGAACTAACTATATGGACCAGGCTAGCCTCGAACTTGCGGCAGTCCTCCTGCCTCAGCCTCCCGAGTGCTGGGATTACAGGCGTGCACCACCACACCCAGCAGGTTTCTTAATTTGAAAGAAAAAAAGCAACCATTTTCTAAGCCCATACTTTTATGTGTGAGGAGAATCTATTCTCTCAGGCCACAGTTCTCTGAATTTGTGGTACTCACTAGTCATTTCTGTGGTAAACACATTAACAAGTCATGGTGACATTTGGCAGTGTCTTAGCACACCATTACTAAAGTTTGGTTCTTTAATGAGTAATAATATCATTTGTTATCAGTAAGTTTGCATGTGTGCACCTCAGAGGGCTGTTGGGAGGTAGCTATAAGATGTTCATAGCATTTGTTTAGCCCTTACAGGGTGTTAGGCACTGCTCTGTGCTTTGCATGTACCTCATGTCTGGGTTGTTACTGTTCTTGTTTTACAAGTGAGGAAGTTGAAGTTCAGAGATGTTTAAGAATTTGTCTGATGTCAGCGGGCAATAAGTAGGGGAGCCAGAACTGAGGTGTAGACATCCTGGTGCCAAACTGCTTACTTTCTGAAGGGAGGAGGGCGAGACAGGGTCTCACTATTGTAGTTCAGGCTGGTCTTAAACTCACTGTGTAGCCCAGGTGGTCTCAAACTCACAGTGATCCTCCTGCCTCAGCCTCCTAAGTGCTGGATTAGAGGTGTGCACCACTACACCCAGCCAAATTCCTCACTTATAACCATTCCATTTAATTTAATACCTCTGTACCCTATTTTCCTAGAGTCCTGAGTCAGTGGTGTTCAAACTTTTGTTAGTAGGTAAAGCCGCCTTTCAAAATAAAAACTTATGTGAGGCTTCAATAATTAGTGGGCTAACACAGAGCTTTTCTGGTTGGTTTGGAATGGGAGGTCAGAGCCTACTGGCTCGCTTTCACTGCACCGCATCCCTGGCTTCCACAATCTACTCAGCACTGGGGATGCACTGAGGACAGGGTTTGAGGAAAGTAATTACTTCCTTGAAATCACGAGCTTGAAAATCCAAGTTTTATTTAAACTGAGTTCTTGTGGCAGAGTGAGGTGCCTGAGCAAGTATAGAAACCGACCTTGAAATTGCGTTTATAGGATGCTGTCTTCCAGAGCAGTTACAACTGTCTTCTCTCTTTTGTCAGGAATGTCTTTTTAAATTAGAAGACAGGAAGAAAACAAAACCCAGACTGTGTCCCACAATCAGAAACCTCCGTTGTGGCAGAGGGGCCTTCACTGCCCCCAGGGCATCCCGCCAGACAGGGAGGACTCCAGCCTTCTGAGGCCTCCGAGGAGTTCCTGTTTGGGGTGTAAGGGAAAATCAGCGCGGTTTTACAAAGGTGGCTGCAGCCTGTCCGGCGTGGTGAGAGGGGAGCTGATTTGCTGGTGAACTTGTTTTTAAAAGAAAAATAATTTTAAGAAAAATTTTAAAAGGGAAAAAAAGAAAGAAAACTAAATGGAAACATTCACCTGGTAGCAAATGACAAACCCACACACTGTCACACGCTAATGTGCAGTGTACACACAGAAAACCAAAAGTGAGGATTTTCTGTGAAACAAAAACTTTCACTTAGGGAAAATGTGGGAATTTGAATGAATTAAATAGCTGCAAATGAAGGTCAAGGGTCAGGGTCATCTCTGAAAGTTTCCTACTGTTTTGTCTTCTTTCCCTCTCCCACCCCATCCTACCCCACCCCACCCCTGCTCCGCATTTCCTCCCCCTCAGCGTTGTTCAGTGAGCCTGTTCTGCTCTCTATCATGGTCACACTGATGATACTCAGGACCAGCCAGGGTCAAAATTCCTATTCAGTAGAACCCAGCCTTGGCCCTGTTCACTCTAAACCTCCTTCCAATCCACATGAGCTTGTTGTCAGCCTTGGAAAAAGCCAAAATTGGGGTGGGCAGGGTAGGATATAAATGTGTATTCTGTTTTAGCTTGTTTAAGTTTTTTTTTCTTAGTGAATTATTTACCCACAGATGTTCAAGAAAAAAAGGGTGGGAGTCTGAAGAAAAAATGTTTACAAGGCTAATTGTACTTCACTACAAAGTGTGGACATTAATTGACTTCTCGGGGTGAGGCTGAAGAGGGAACCCCAAAACATCCTAATGTTTTGAAGGAGTGCAGCCCACACAGCCAGGAGATGTGAGGGCACTGTTCTGTCTGGTGTAGCCGTCTCAAGAACAAATCAACAGCAACAACAACAACAAAAGGAAAAACAATAAATTTTTAAAATTTAATAAGTGTTTGTTTCTACTTCTGTGGACTGCTTTGTAGCTCTGAAATGATTCGCCTACAGCAGCTGAGCGAGCATCCTTAGTTGGTACCAGTAGATGTCTGGGCCTGGACTTCCAAAGGTCTGTGCCACAGTTCTCCGGGGGAGTAGCTCATCCTGCACCCTGTATCTCCTAGTTCATCCTAAAGCTCCTCATGCTGCATTCTACCCTTCTGTGCCCTCTCAGTGGGAAAGGGGCAGCCCTCTTCCATGGCAAACAGAAGTGTGCTGTAACCTCTCTACCACATCTACCCAAGTGAGTAGCTTGTTTTACAGTTGTGTGTGTATAAGTTTACTAAAGTATAATTGACAACAGTACTCTGCACATACTTAAGGTATACAATTTGATACGCTTTGACATATAATATACCCATGAAACCATTGCCACAGTCGAGAGAGTGAATATACTCTTTACCCCCCAAATTTCCTTGGGCCCCTGGGTAATCCCTCATTCTTGTCCCTTCCCATTCCCTACTATCTTCAAGTAAACACTGGCCTGTTTCCTGGCTCTACAGATTAGTTTGTTCACTTTGTTTTGTTTTGTTTTTTTACAATGGGATCAAATAGTATGTTACGGTATTTGGGTTCTGAGCTAACAATCCTGACTACTGAGCTGGTGTTTTGATACATCTGTCAATGTTGTTGGTAGTGACGTATCTCTACCTTTCCTTTACCATCTAGGTCACTTAACTTTCTTACTCCTAGGCTTAAATCTTCAAACTGCAGCCGGGCGTGGTGGCGCACGCCTGTAATCCCAGCACTCGGGAGGTTGAGGCAGGAAGATTGCTGCGAGTTCAAGGCCAGCCTGGGCTACAAAGTGAGTTCAAGGCCAGCCTGAACTGCATAGTGAGACCCTGTCTCAAAAAGACAAAAAAAAAATCTTCAAGCTGCAGAACAATGTTTGGAGTCAGTGAAACAAGGCTTCCCACGTAATCAGTAGTACTCAGGGTTTTACTCTAAAAAGACATTGTTAGAAGGACAGCAAAAAAACTTGAGTGTTTACGGTAAGATTATCAGATCCTGGGGATCAGCACGTCATCCTAGGCATCCCTCATGTTCCGGTTAAACAAAATTAAACCTAACCCTGAACAACCAGTTGACTTTGTTTGAGGAATTTGACTTTTTTCACAGGAAGTTGCATCTGGGATTGAAAAACTAGAAGGCTTAACAACCTTCCTGGCCACTGAAAAATAGCACGTGGACTGCATGTCTGAGTTAATGTCAGGAATGTCTTGTACACAGATACAGCTGTAGAAAGCTGACCTCTATGTCCTTAATAGTTTGGGGTCTCACTACTTTCTTTGAACCTTGCAGATTTGAAAAGGCTGTTATAGCCAGGTGTGGTGGCGCATGCCTGTAATTGCAGCACTCAGGAGGCTGAGGCAAGAGAAACGCCATGAGTTTGAGCCCAGCCTTGGCCACAGAGTGAGTTCAAGATCATAGTGAGTTCAAGGTGAACTGCATAGTGAGGCCATATCTCAAAAAACAACAAAAAAACTCTTATAAAGCAACCTTTTCTTTGTGTTCTTGCATAGCATTGTATAATGGAAGTAAAATGAGCATCTTGCATGTGTGCAGGTCAGCTAATTGCACCTCTGATTTACCTGCATCATCTCTCCACAGAACTGTTTGCTCTATGATTGGATTAGCCAAGACATTATAACCCTGCTTAGGGGAACACAAATGTGGCATTGGGAAAATTGCCATCAAGATTACTAAAAAGTGACTTGTAATTTTTATGTTCTGATTTGAAAGGATGATTATAAAGATAAGTAACTGATAAGGTACCTAAGACAGACAGGAACTTGGGCTTTTGAACCACATCACCCCTCACAAATGCAATGTACATGTCCTTTTCATGTGGCCCTGGTTTAAATGAATTCTCTTCACAAAGATAAGAGCCAAGAACCAGAGAAGTTAAAAGTCTGAGAAAATGCAACAAGATGTGCCCAATCTTTTGGGATATGTTACCAGCAAACTGACTGAAAGTTGCTCCTTCAGCAAAGTGGGAAAAGCCATTAGTAGCTTTCCCTGCTCAAAAGACTAGAAAGGCTATGTTCTTGATGTCACTGGAAGCTGAGTGAGAGGGAGCAGTCTTGAATAAAACAGTGAAAAGATGACTTTGGTGGGGTGGAGCAACTTAGAAGAAAAGAAGCTCTTGGGTGCAGAGAGCTGCTTTCATTCCCAAGTCCGAGGCAGCCGTGCTCATGGAGTCTAAACACCAGCAAAGGTCGCTTCCAAGAGCAGTGAACTGCTGCTGGCTACTACAGCAGGAATACGAAGTGACAGGGTTTTTTGTTGTTTTCATTTCTATTTTATTTTTAGTCAAAAGTGCAAAGCCAAGGAAGATTTTGGCAGCTACTGGACCACCAGTGGTCTGGAGAAGTCAGTCCACCAGTGGCCACATACGGCTTCTGTAATTCATCTCCCCTCAGCCTCCCTGCTGCTCCAGGCATGGAGCTGCACACTCATGCCTGCAGGAACAAGGCAAGTAATGAAGAGTGAAGCAGGCTGGGGGAGGACTGTTTTGAATTGGAGGAGCTGTCTCAAGAGGAAATAGAACTGCACAGGCCAGTGGGAAGTAAAGATGCTAGCTTTTGTAGATGATTAGAAACTGAGATGAAAGATAAAAGGAAGCCCAGCGTGGTGGCGCACGCCTGTAATCCCAGCATTCAGGAGGCTGAGGCAGGAGGATCATTGTGAGTTCGAGACCAGCCTAGGTGGGCTACAAAGTGAGCTCAAGGCCAGCCTGAACTGCATAGTGAGATCCTGTCTCAAAAAGACAAAAAAAAAAAAAAAAAGGAACTATAGATAAGCACTTCATTCTAGTTGGTAGTTACTTAAGGGGGCACAGGTTAACCATTCTGAAACTACTATTATGTATAGAAAAGCAGGGGATGGTAAATTTACAGTGGAAAAACAACCTACCTTAGCCAGGTGGTTATGGTTGACACCGGCAATCTAAATCATGTTGACCGTATGTAGTGTGTGTGTGTGTTTGCTGGCTTGCACAAGCCAGGTAAGTGCTCTACCACTGAGCCACATCCCCAGCCCATGTTCTCGCGATATGAGAATGATGACCTCTGTGGTCTTCTTTACAAAAACTATAAGAACACATCAGGTATACCGCACATTTAGTGATGTTCTGATTAATGCCTACCAGTACTCAAACCCATCAATACTAAAACAAAGTCAGAAACTTATCACAGACCAAAGGAGGTGAAGATACGATGACCAAATGCAATACTTGGATAGGAGCCTGGACCCAAAAAAGAGGAAAACTGATGAAACTGGAATAAAAAAGAGTTTAACTAATACCTATGTGTCTATATTGTTTTATTAGCTGTGATACATCTACCATAATATCATAAGATGTTAGTGATTAGGGATGTGGTGTGTGACATACAAGAACGTTTAGCAACTTTTCCATAAATCTAAAGCTTTTTTTTTTTTTTGGTTTTTCTCCGGTACCGGGAACCGAACTCATGACCTTGCGTTTGCCAGGCAGGCGCTTTTTGCCACTGAGCTAAATCCCCAGCCCATCTAAAGCTTTTTAAAGTTTTAAATTTTCACTTATTTAGCATGCTAGCCATTAAACCCGTGACTTCCAAGCTAAGTGTGTGCTTTACCAATGAGCTGCACTTCCAGCCCTATTTTGTTTTAGGATTCTAAATTTTTGTTTGTTTTTCTTCTGGTACCAGGAATTGAACTCATGACCTTGTGCTTGCCAGGCAGGCGCTGTGCCACTGAGCTAAATCCCCAGCCCCTTGTCTTAAAACTTTATTTATTTATTTTTTTTTGTTTTGGTTTTGTTTGTTTTTTTTCCGGTACCGGGAATCGAACTCACAACCTTGCGCTTGCCAGGCAGGCGCTGTGCCACTGAGCTAAATCCCCAGCCCCTTGTCTTAAAACTTTTAAAACTCTGGATTTCTGGTAAAATTTTTTCAGGGGCTGGGGGTGTAGCTCAGTGCTAGAGAACATGATTAACATCCTCAGGCCAGGTGTGGTGCACACCTGTAATTCCAGCACTCGAGAGGCTGAGGCAGGAAGATCACTGTCAGTTCGAGGCCAGCCTGCGCTAGAGTGAGACCCTGCCTCAAAAACAAAACAAACAAACATTCTCAAGTTCAGTTCCTACTTCCTCACGCAGATTTTTTTTTTTTTTTTTTTGAGATAAGTCTTGCAATATATTCCAGGCTGGCCTCAAATTGATGATGTAGCCTAGGCTGGCCTCAGAAATCCTGCCACAGCCTCCCTCACACAAAAAGTTAATCTCCTCACATGAGGTGTGATAATGAATAATTTTATTTTTTTACTTATCTGTTTAATTTTTTTGGTACTGGGACTCAAACTCACAGCCTTGCACTTGCCAGGTAGGCACTTATGCCACTGAGCTATATCCCTAGCCCTAGTTTTATTTTTTTATAGTATTATCTTGCCTTTAGGAGAGTGCCTGCCTGGCATGTGTAAAGCCCTTGGTTTGATCTCCAGCACCACAAAATTTTAAAAAAAGGAAAGTCCTTATCTTTTAGAGATGTATGCTTAATATTTAAAATAAAATGTTATTTCTGGGATTTGATTCAAAATAACACTGAGGAGGGTATGGTACAGATGTTTAGATGAGAAAGATGGATCATGAACTGCTACATGGGGATTTCATACCACTTTTCCTATTTTTGCGAATGTTTAAAATTTTATATAATAAAAAGAGCTGGATGGTGCTGCATGGGTGTAATCCCAGCATTTAGGTGGCTGAGGCAGGATTGTGGAGAGCTCAGAGGCAGCCTGGGCTGCATAGTGAGTCCCAGGCCAGGCTGAACTATGTAGCAATACCCTGTCTCATAAAGACAAACAATAAATAAATAAAACTGCAATAAATTATTCATGCCAGAAAATTATACCTGTGAGCCAGATTCAAATGATGAGCTCCCAATTTGCATGTAGTATCTTAAGCATGTAAAAATGAGGTTAACAGATTGTAATGGTCCCAAACAATCAGAAATCTGGACAGGTTTTCAGACTGCACATTTACAATTCCACAGCTTGGCCTCAGCCATCTTCCTCCTGGAAGCAAAGCAGTCAGGTGGGTGTTGACGAGGCCCAGCTGACTCAGTGGCTGAAAGACGGGCCCCCATGCCAGGGGCCTGAGCCAGAGGACCTGCACAGGGTCAGGCACCTGAAAGAGGCTGAAAGAATAGCAAGGAGACCACAGGCACTGGGGAAAGTGAAGAACCAGCCAAGTCTGTTTTTTAACTTTTTAATCCAAAAATACATAAAACTCTACTCTTCATCCCCAGATTCTTAAAACTCGGGAAGGCAGCGATTAGCTGCCAGCCTTAAGTGACGTCCAGAGGCTTATATTCATCTCAGAAGCAAGAAAGATGGGGAAGTGAGGCTCAAACTAGGGAACCTCCAAATCAGGCCCCTGCTGTGCAGAGGCCCTGCTGGGGTACTTGGCCCACAACACTTCTCAGGCTCTTTTGCCAGCGCAAATGCAGCAACCTCAATAACGGGCCACCCTGGGGCAATCTGCCCTGTACACCTCGGCTCTGCAGTCAGGGACATTCCTTCCCTGCTCAGGGCACTGCTGGCTGGGCTTCTCCAGTGCCAGGCAGGCCCAGGAAGCCAGCCCTGCAAGCAAAGCTCTGCAGGGAGAACTGGTACCCAAGTCTCATCTTTATCTTCCACCTCAAGGAGACCCAGAGGTTGGAGTCCGCAGCCAGCCAGGCCCGCTGGGGCTACCGCACTGCCTCATCAGTCTACACAGCCACTACCTGCACCCCTGCTATTGCATGGCAACAGGGTGCATGGGCCAGGGCCCCTGGCCAGCACCCAGACCTGCCACGGGAGGGGCCTGGGCCACAGACTGCAGCTGCTGCTGGGCTTGCCAGATGTGATGGAGCTCCTTAAACTGCTCCACCATGTGATCTTTGAGATCTGGGTTTGAAATTTGCAGCCGGATGCTGTCAGCTGACCAAGAAAGCTCCCCTGAGAACATTTCCAGAAGCAGTCGGGCTGCGACAGGTACCACCTGGGGGGCAAAGAAAGGACAGGGAAAGAAAGCGTGGCAGGGCTGCCAGACCCAGCTGTGCGTGAGGGCTTCCACCAGCGGCATGTGGTAGATGCCTCTCCTCCAGCCCTGAGCCTTGCTTGACTGTGGCTGCCAAGTTTGTACTCCCCAGCGAGCCCCAGCCATGGCCCCCAGTATTCAAGCCAAGGTCGGTGTACACACCTGGACAGTAATGAGCTTCTTCTCTCGGGGCTTTTGGTCAGGCCACTCCTCCCCAAAGCAGAAGAAGATCTCAATGGGAGGTGGGGTGTTGGTGCGGCCCTTCTGGAACAGGATGAGGTCTGCATCAAGATCAAACACTTTGGTCAGAGGCTAGAACCACGCCCTGGGTGAGAGATGGCCAGGAAGAACATGGTGTGGGCCTCACCATTGAGAAACTGCTCCAGGCTGAAGAGCTTGGTCTTGACTTCCCGCTGGATGGGGTTGGGGCTTAGGCCGTGGGTGGAGGCACAGGGCCCACTCCAGAACACCTTGCACTGGCACAGGCGGATGGCATACAGATCCTGGCCCTGCAGCTGGAGGATGAGCCCACGGTCCAGGACATCCAGCAGTTGGTTCGTGTAGAAGCGCTGCTTGTCGCTGGGGATGTCCTCGGGACTGGGGAAGCGGACTTGCTCCAGGCTCACGGGGCCGAAGAGTTCCACCTGCTCCTGGGTGGCCTCCAGCTGGCTGTAGAAGATCCGGCAGCCTTGTGGGTTGCTGATGGTGAGGGCGTGGGGTGGCCGCCCCCGGTACTGGAACTTGATCTCCAGATCAGTCACTGTGGGGCAGAGGGGGCCACCCCAGCCATGAGCTCCTCATCTCCCCTTCTGCAGCCAGGTGGTAGGCCCAGCCTCCTCAGCCCTCCCACTCTCTCCCCACAGCACTGGGGCAGGGAGGCCATCCACGTGCTTTCGTTCCCTTCTCTGCCAGCCTCTGCTTTCCTTGAAGACCCTTGCCCAACCCCCTGTACTGCTGTACCCGGCCCAGCCCGCCCAGCCCATGATGGGGCCTTACAAGGCAACATGTGGGGGCTGATAAGCAGGTCAGGAAGTAGCTGTTCACTTGCAGGGGGCAGGGCTTGAGCCAGAGGCTCAGGACTGGGCAGGACCTCAGGGAGATGCTGCCCGAAGCCAGCAGGGTTGCCAGGTGCAGAGACCAGGAGGTTGGGGTCTAAGGCAGGAGGCCCCACAGGCGGTGGGAGGACAGGTGGCCACTTGACATCTTCTTTAGGTAAATAGGATGCCATGGAGGGACCGGGCTGCACTGTTTCTACAGAGGGTGGAATAGACAGAGCTGTTAATGCCACCTCCAGGAACTGTCTCTCAGGCCCACAGACTCACAGACCTGCCTCCCATCAGCCCCAACCTAGTACCCATGGTACCCATGGCTTCTCCATATGCAAGATGCCCAGCCACACCACCTCCTAGCCCTACCTGTGAGGCTCAGGCCTGGTAGCATCCTCTGGAGCTGAAGGGAAGATACAGGCAAGGGAGGAGGAAGAAGGCAGAGAGATAAGGAAGAACAGATTAGTACACAAGGAAGTGTGTCAGTGGCACAGCCCTGGCCAGAACCCAGGAGGACACGCCCAAGGAAGGGCCTGCTCCATCCTAAAGCAGGGCTGCCTCACTGGCTGCTCAGTAAACCCCCGACCCAACCACACCCCGCCCCACACACCTCCTCTTCCTCCTCCTCCTCCTCCTCCTCTCCTGGAGCCACAGTGTAATCCTCAAGAGGCTGGGACTCTGCAGGGAAGGGAGAGAAGAGGACAGGAAGGGAGTCAGGGGCAGAGCAGGTGCCAAGCCAGCCTGGGGCTCCATCTGGGCAGCCGCCCAGACACAGGGAGGCACTGCCGCTGTAAGGACCTCTCAGCAGCCAAGAGCCCAGAACCAGGGCAGTAGCCCCACTCTAAGCCATTGCTGGGAGCCCTGGGCCGCTGCTCGCAGGGGTTGGGAGCTTCCTGGCTGCACGGCCTCCCAGTGGCCCACACAGGACCAGGCAGGATACCTGTGGGAGCAGGGCCATTGGAGCAGACCTCGTAGATCTTGTAGGGCTGAGGCGGCATGTCCCGGGGCCCATCGTAGAAGAGGCGGAAGTCGCGGCTCTTGTTGAGGGCACAGCGTAGGTTGGCCTTCCACTTGGCAGGGTCAGCCTCATCCACCCCCTCAGTGTACTTCCCTGTCTCCTTGGCCCAGGCCTGGGTAGGAAGCAAGGACAGCTCACCACAGAGAACCTCAGCCCTCAGCAAAGCTCCAGCCTGCCTCGTGTCCTGCCGGAAAGGCCTTCAGCCACTGGCTGAGCCCCGCCTAGCTGAGGGCCTCATGTGTAACAGGAATCTAGGGCTCACTCCTTCTCCAGCTCCTGGGGTTCCAACAAGCTCAGTGAAGTCTATGGGCATTGAGGGGTGTCCACATTCACTGCTCCAGGAAAAGCAAACACGTCTAGTCTCTAAGGTGGGAGTGTAATATGGCAGAGCCAAAGACTTGCAATCCCAGAGTCTTGTGCTAAGCACTCGCTCTATCGCTGAGTTACACCCCCGGGTGGTATCATGATTTTGGAGTTTCAGTGTCAAAAACCACATCACCATGGACACTTCACTTCTACCCTTTATTCATCTTAAATGATTTCTTTGGATCTAGTTCCTAGAGTTAAAAATTGACAGAGGCCCCCATTAGGGGGTAAATGTTTCTATGCCTTCACCTAGCAATTTGATTTCTATGGAATCATACATGCAGAGTCTAAAAGCATGCATGCAAAACTATGTACATACAGGTTATTCACCACAGCGCCATCTGTAAAAACAAAAAATCATAATATCCAGTGTTCATCAGGAGGGCTGGTTAAATTATGATCAATTCACAGGATGGAATGTCGGTGGGGGAGCTTTTCATATACTGACATGTGCTCTTCAAGAAATACGAAGTGCAAAGAGTATGTCTGCCTCTACCATTTTTTGAAAAGCAGAGCCAGGCATGGTGGCACATGCCTGTAATCCCAGCACTCTGGAGACTGAGGCAGGAGGATCGCCTGGAGTTTGAGACCATCCTGGGCTACATGGTCAGTTCAAAACTAGCCTGAGCTACATAGCAAGAACCTGTTGGAAAAAAAAAAAAAAGTAGGGGAACAATAGGTAGGTATTCGCTTGTAGATGCACAGGAATCTCTCGGGAGGGATAAACAAGACTTCTGGGGAGGAGACTGGATGGCTGGGGAAGGCTAACTTTTGGCTATAAACTATTTCACATCTTTTTATTTTAAATTGTGTGACTATGTTATCTACACAAAAATAAATGGATTTGGAAAAACTTTGAATAAAGGGTAGAAAGTGGGCGTCAACATGGCAATGTAGGTTTTAACACTAACAGTGTAAAAGCAGCCTGATGTGTCCAAAACCAGGACTGGGTGACTGAATTGTGTTTAATCCTGTGGTATTGGCCCACAGTCACCAAGTGATGTGGACATATATTAGAAAGGAATGCTGATCCTGATGTTGAGTGAAAATATGCAGGTTATAAAACAATGGCTTGATTCTTATTTTGCATTTCATATACCCATGTAGAAAACAGCTGTATTTTCTATTACAAAACTATATCAGTACAGACCTCCCAGCTTTAAGATCACAGGTGAACTGGGAGCTTCGTTCATCATGTGCATACCTTGTGTACTCCTGCGTAATGGGAGTGGTGCAAAAACAAGGGTAGGTCAGGGAGTTACTGCAGGGTGTCCAGAGACATTCTGTTACCACCTTGACTTGGGTACAGGTGGATGTATTATTTTATTTGATTCTATTTTTGGTTTTCTGAAACAGTCTGGCTATGTAGTTCAGCCTATGTAGCTTAGGCTGGCTTTGAACTCAGTGATCCTGCTGCCTCAGCCTACCTAGTATAGAATTATAGGAGTGCACCACCCTGCCTAGCTAGGGGTACAGCTTAGTAAAGGAGATGTGTGGCTAGGCCTGCGTCCCCTTACGCTGGGCCCGGCATAACCTGAGCAAGGTAGCTGGGAAATGGACTGGCCTTGAGAAGAGTATGGGTGTGTCCCTTTCCTGGGGAGCAGGGGCCTCGCAGGTCCAGGCAGCAGCCATCCAGGGCTTACCTTGAAGATGGTGTTGTCTCCTTCCTGGCTGGGGCCATGCCGCGTGGCATGGCGCCAGGGGATGTAGAAGAATTTCCTTTCCCCGTTGACCCACTGAAGCCCTGGGTACTGGCAGCTGTTCACCTGGGCCACCAGCCAGGGCTTCAGCCGCACTCGGCGGGGCTGAGGGGGAGCCCCAGGGGGCGGTTGGTTCATGGCAAAGGACTCTGCAGGGAAAGCCAGGGCACAAGCTCAGCAAATTGGCAGATAAACACTCCTGACCTGGGGACAGAGGGCCCACCCAGGTATTCAAGACCAGTTCTCTTTTCCAACCCTCACCTTTCAAGTCATGGAGTCTGTGCTTGGGGGGGCAGGGGGAGGAAAGGGGAAGCAAAGAGACCTCAGCACTAGTGGATGCTTGGACAATCCCCACCCCCCACGCCCTGTACCACACTGGGGCATCCTTTCCCCAGATGCTAACAGCACCAGCTGCCCCTGTGCCAGAGAACTGCCTTCAGCGGCCTCCCTTTGCAGGTTACGCCACACCTCACTCTAGAGGGATGACCACAGCAGCAGTGTGGGGAACTAAGCCTGGCTCACTTGTGGCAAGGTGGGTGAATGGCTGCACTGAGCGTGCCTTAGGATCAGCCTGACCCAACCTACCCTGCTCAGTTTTTCCCTCTCCCTGTTCTCACCCTCCTTCCCGGCTATCCCCCAGCAAATCCTCTGAAGGAGAATCCCACTGCTGGTTTCTAGGAAACCAAAGCAGACTGTGGGAATGGAGGGAGGGTGTCTGAACTCAGTGCTGAAAGCTTCATTCTTCCTTAGCTTCCCTCAGGGATGAAGCGCGCTGCCCGCCCACCCCCTTAGATAAATCCCATCAACACACTCAACCTGCCTCCAGCAAGGACAGTTGCCACCAATCTCAGGCGTTACTCCCCTCCCCCCTGAAGCCATCAATTTCCCAGCTTCTTGTCTCTGCCCTTTTTCCTCCTACCGGACACATTCATGCAGTACTTAGCTGGTTTTTTGTTTGGGTTTGGGCTTGGGGGCTTTGGGGACTATTTCTTGTTTTTGTTTGCGGGGTGTTTGTTTTCTGAGTCAGGGTCAAGGTCTGCCTGTGTAGTTTAGACTGGCCCTGAACTCGCTATGTAACCCAGCCTGGACTTGAACTCAAGGAGCTCCTCCTGCCTCAGCCATCTGAATGCTATCGTTACAGATATGAGCCAGCTTCTTTCAAGGAAACCCCTGATGTTTGTGGGCCTCTAACAACACAGCTGCAGAAGTACAGCTCCCCATAGGGGAGTGAGCCCCTCCTCAGGCCACAGTCTCTGCCTCACTCAAGTCAGGACAGCAGGACAAATGAGACCCTTTGGGTCCCCTTCACCTGCCCACTCACTCTCCAGAACCCAAGCCTGAAACTTGAGTCTGCAGCCCCTCCTGTCCCATCTACTCCTGTTTCTTTCCTTCTCTTGCCCTTTGCCCTTTACCATATAAGCCCAGGAAGGGGAGCAATCATACTACCTGGTCCTCAGAGGTTAATCTGTCGCTCAGCAAGTAAGGAACGAAGGGTAGAGCTGGCCTACTTGGTCCTAGCAGCACACAGCCTGTTTCCCCTGTAGTTAGTTCCCCACCAGTACCTTTTCGGGTTGTGGCTGCTACGTGCCACCTCCAGACTGCCAGAATGACCCTCTGCAGGCTTCAGAGCAGTGTCCAGCTCAGCCCATGAGGCATAAAGGCGGCCCCAGCCAGGGAGGGTGGGAAGACTCCAGCCCTGCCCCCCAAGGCTGTGGCTCAGTTCCTCTTTCTAGGCCAGCCTCCACCCAGCCCCAGGGGAAATGAAAGTGGACAGCTCAGAAACCTGACTCACTGTGCGCTGACGGAGGGAGGGAGAGGGACAGAGGAGATTCATAAGTGGGTTCCTAAAGCCAAATTGCCAGGCCCCCGTCCCAGCCCATTCCATCTGCAGCCAGGTCCTTCCCCTAGGCGGGACCAGGAGTTTCCGACCATCCCAACGCCTGTGAGATCTGCATTTCTGATGTCTGAACAGCCCTGCCTGTCTTCAAATCCAGGGACCCCCTAGACCTGCCTTTGTGGATCTGAGAGCCCTTGAAGCAGAGAGCCATCACCTGCTGGAAATGTCAGAAGGGGTGTGGGCTGCTGAGGATATGAAGAAGCCCCCACAGGGGGATCAGGCAGTGAAGCATCCAGAGGGGGGCCTCGAGCCCTGCTGGGGTGGCGGGTCCTCCAGTCATCCCAGGGCCCTGCTGAAGTCCCAGAAGAGGACCCAGAGCACCCTGGTGGGTCCCACGCGGAGGCTAGAGCAGGGAATGCGCGATAATTTACGGAGCACTGGGCAGGTGGGGAGACCCCCTGCTGCCTCCTGAGTTGTCTGGGTCCTCGGGTCTCCCTGCAAACCCCACATTCAGCGTGGGGGGACGGTAAGGGGGACCCTGCAGGAGGCATGACCCTAAATCCCGCCCTCTCCAGGTGACCGATGGCGACGGCACACCTGGGCCCTGCCTCCTCGCCGGCTGAGCCTCCGGAGCGGCAGGTGCGGCAGGAAGAAGCCTCTCGGCTTCCTCCCACGGCGAGCTGGGGAAAGGCCGGGGTGCAAGGGAAAACCCCAAAACAGGGCCTTTAGGTCAAAAAGGGTGATTTCCCACCGCTTCAAACTGTCTAGCCGGGAGCCCCGCAGTCCCAGTGCCGCAGGCAGGAGCGCCGAGGGGCGGCCCCACTGCGGGCCCGCGTCCCGCTTCGGCTTTCTGCACCCCCGGCCCGCGTCCTTTCTGGTCGGGTTCACTCATCCCCGCTCTGGAACCCAAGCCAAGCCCGAACCTCCGGGCTCCCCGCAGGCTAAGACCGGACCCGACCAGAACCCGGACCGCTCCTCCGGCTGGGGCGCCCCGCCCGCTGCCAGCGTGAGGCCGGGCAAGGCCCCCGCCCCCGGCCCGCC